TTGTCTACTTCGCTAACATCTAATTTTCGTTTCTTTTTGTTACCTTTTCCTTGGTTACGTTCCTGTGCAAGAGGAAGACGACCTTTTTCATTGTTTGGGTTTTCAATGTTTTTAATTTTATCGGTTAAATATTCTTCTTGTTGTATAATATCTTCATCTTGGACTTCAGTATCGCCTTGTTCATTATTTTCAAATGTAATTTCATTATCTGAGGTCGGAGAAGGAAGATTTCCCGGATTAGTTATATCAGTGTTGGGTTTTACATACGGCAAAAGAAATTGTAAATATTCATTCAAATAATATGGTTTCTTTGCTTTTCTAGAAGATCCACTAGGTGCTTGTTTCATATTCCTGACAAATACAGTTCTTAAATTTTTCCATTTTTCTTTACACAATGAAACTAAAAATAAAATAATACAAAAATAATACATTATTGAAATATACATATACATAAATAGAAAATTACCTAAAAACTATTTTTTATTAGATATTTGGCGACGGGCTGCACTTATTCCAGCCTGTCATTTTATTTTGCTCGAGATGCCAACACAATCGGTAAAATAATTTCAGAATCTACTCAAAAAATATGGGAGTGTTTATTTAATGAATACATGCCTATACCAACCGAAGAACAGTGGATGTGTATAGCAAATCAGTATAATAGATTATGGAATTTACCAAATTGCTTAGGTTCAATAGATGGGAAACACATAAGAATACAAAAACTCCCCGATGCAGGATCCACTAATTTTAATTATAAATCATACCATTCAATTGTTTCAATGGCTTGCAGTGATGCAGATGGGCATTTTATTATGATAGAAACTGGTTTCGCTGGTAGAAATAGCGATGGAGGTATCTTTCGAGCATCAAGAATGGGTCGGTGGTTTGAAAGAAATGGTTTAAATATGCCACATCCTAAACCATTGCCTAATGACCCTAACGACATTTGTTTTCCTTATTATTTTGTAGCTGACTAAGGATTCCCTTTGAAAAAAAATTTAATGAGACCATACCCACAGAGAACTTTAACAAATAAAAAACGAATATTTAACTACAGACTCAGTAGAGGTAAAAAAACTGTTGAGTGTTCATTTGGTATGATGTCACAAAAATTCAAAGTACTATTATCACCAATACGATGTAATGACGAAACTACTATTAACAATATAATAAGATCAGTATGTATTCTTCACAATTTTATACGTTAAAGGGAAGGTCGACAATATATACCTTCCGTTGATTTTGATGAAAACTGTCCAGAAGACGTTCAAGTACCAGTTGAGTTTCTCAGAGACAACGACGATCAAAATGAGTTGCTGAGAACACGAGCGGCGAGTGTCGAGTGATATGAGAGATTATTTGTCTTCATATTTTGTTAAGCCTTATGCATCGCTGCCATGGCAGTGGAATAAGTGTGTATAATTATTAATATTATGGTCTAAATATTTGATAATAATTTTCTTTTAAATTTGTTTTGAAATGAGTATATGAAAGTGTATTTAAATGCATATTATTATTAATTATTATTTGTATTATTCAGCTATTGTATTATTTTGTATTTATTAATACGGTAAACTGCATAACTTGTTTTCATATCTACTTAATACAATAAATAAATATAATTCATACATACATATTTGTTAAAAACAAAATACTATACCTAATATCGATGACCGATAATATTAGTTGTCGAATATTCTGGATGCGTTGGGGTAGGGTGATAGAGTTTTTAATATTAGTACTTTGTTCTTATTTTATTTTTAGCATTTACTATATACCATAGTATAACACATTATGTTACAATAAATAATATGAACTAATAATAAATAGTATTACCTGTTTCTTTAACTTCTTCTGCAACTTTTGACCATGCCTTTTCTGTTAAATCTTTTCTGGCGTATTCTGGTAATTTGTAATTATATAAACACGGATATTTTTCCACAGCCTCAACAAAGTTTATAGTTAACACACACTCTTTTTTCGACATAATTTTATAATTATATTATATAATACTATATTATTACAATGAAATAATAAAATATAATGAAATAAACACGAGTATAATTCAAGTGATGTAGTGGCAACTATTCATCAAGCGACTGACAGCACTAGTCGCGCGCGATTAATTGTTATCGTGTCGCGTCGTAGTCACATCGTGTCGCGTCAGTGGGAAGTACCCGATATATTTATCCATGTTTTATAAGACAAACGATTATCACGCGATATTTATTTAAAATCGCGTCGCGTCGCGTCGCCTTAGTGGGAGGACGGCCTTATGTTATAACTACAGGTGAATTTATTTATTTTGAAGTTTTATTATATAACTAATATATTATTATTATCATTCATGTCTTAGAATTGTCTAATTTGTTTTGAATTATTCTTAGTTCTTTTTAATATAGAAAAAAAAAAGTTCTTGCAAAAATATAAAAATGTTGCATGATTTTCATATTATATCGCATGACGCATATATTGAATCTTCACATATAAAATCATAACCCCCCCAACTTTTTCCATGGATTTCCACCAATGCTTGATATGAAGATCCTTGTGTAAATTCAAAGAGTGGAAGTAACAATGTTGTACTTTATTATGTCATTAAAGTGAGTAATACCATTTGTACTTGGAAAGGAATACTGAAAACCTAAACATTTTAATTTCTAATTTCTAATCAAATTATATAAATTTGAATGTTTTTTCACCGGTGTTTGCCGGTTTGTATGTTCACATTGCACAGACATTAAACGTACCGACACAGACCGGCACGGACCGGACCGTCAAAACATTCTTTCGGATGATGATCGGTCGGTGCCGGTCCGTGCTGGTACGGTGACGGTACTCACCAATGTTCATTATCTCATATAAACTAATAATATAATATTTTGTCGTGCTGGTACGTGCTGTGCCGGTTTGTGTAATTCGACTGCGATATCTCGTTTAGACATTTGGAATATGTTTTATAAACTCGGCGAGGAAAAATTATACACGGCGTAGAGTTAATGTTTACGGCAAAAATGATCTATGGCAAGCTGACTTGGTTGAAATGATACCGTATTCGATAAAAAACAAGGGATACAAGTATATTCTATGCGTGATAGACTGTTTTACAAAGTTTGCTTGGGAAATAGCGTTAAAATCCAAAACTGCTAAAGAAGTTTCAAACGCAATGTCTGAAATACTGTATAAACGCAGACCAAAACTATTACAGCTTGATAATGGTAAAGAATTTTACAATTCTACATTCGACGCGTTGATGGAGAAGCACAACATACGTAAATATTCGACTTATAGTACTATGAAAGCGTGTATTGTAGAACGTTTCAACCGCACATTGAAAGAAAAAATGTTTAGAGAGTTTACAGCACTTGGCTCTCACGAAGGGTTATCTATTTTACCTTCATTGATTAACGAGTACAACAACTCAAAACACAGGACCATAGGCATGACACCAGTGCAAGCTGATGCTAATCCTTCTTCAGTGAAAATAAAGCAACGTCAAATTATTAATGGAAAAATTAAATTTAACATTGGTGATAATATTCGTATAAGTACATATAAAAGTGTATTTGCAAAAGGATATTTACCGAGCTGGTCTACAGAAGTATTTAAAATTGTTAAAATCAACGAAACATTACCTACTACTTATCAGCTGCAAGATTATATTGGAAAACCGATTGCCGGTTGCTTTTATTCAGAAGAAATATTGAAAACAAACTATCCGAATGACTATTTGGTCGAGAAAATTATACGTAAGAAGGGGAAGCAAATTTTTGTGAAATGGTCCGGGTTCGATAATACACACAATAGCTGGATAAATACAAGTGACATTAGAAAATAGTGTCAGTCGAGCTTTAGACATGAAAGTCTTTGGTAGTTCTCAGTCTGGTGAAACAAAAAAAATTATTTCAAATCTCGACCAGTCAAACAAATCGTTTTCGTCTAAATTAGATAAAATCGAACATTTACTTGAAGAAAATCATAAATCCTTTCAAATTCAAGAAGAACAAGTAGAAGCGATACAATTGACATGTATACAAATAACTGAGTATATGACAAGAGGTGAAGTATCATTACAATTAATCAAAGAAAGTACAGAAGTGTTGAAAAACATAATACCATTAATACCTGCTATACTCAGCCGTCTAAATACCATGGAAACGTATTATAAAGACAAGCAATAATGTCTTCGGCCATCTTGGACATGCAATGCGTACTTGGCGTCAGCAATAAATACATGATTAAAGAAATGTCTATAGTAGACACGGCAACATGGGCGACTCAACATTGGATTTTTAAACATTCCAAATCTATGGAGGATAACCAAAGTCGTAAAACCAACAAGTGGTTGGAACGCAATTATCATAAACTATCTATAGAATACGGTGATATCGAGTATGAAGAACTAGGTAAAATATTGAATTCATTGAAATTCAATTGCATAAACGTCAAAGGTGAGCAGAAGAAACAAGTTCTTTTAGAGTATATACCACACGTCGCACTCATCAACATTGAAGACTTGGGCTGCCCTCGTTTGGATCAAATATGTGATGACGAAACTTAACCTTGTTGTATTTTTCATATGGTTTTTAATCCTAAACAATGTAAATTTTTTAAAGTTTTTGCTATAAGAAAATGGTTTGTAAATAATTCTTAAAAATATAACAATAATAATATTTTAACATTGGTTTTATTTTACATAAATAACCTAACATTTTCAATAAATGGTTGTAGATTACATTAATATATATATACAAAAATTATTCGAGTGATATTTACAATAACAAAATATACAAACACATGGTATTTAATTATTTGGACATGCATTCCTGTAAAAGCATTCTCATAAAATTTTTTTCTGATTCATCCCACTCATGACCACCAGCATCTACTGAAAAATCGCGATCTGGCCATTCCTCATCCCTAGGTTCATGTTCATCTTCCCTATAAAATTAAAAATATTATAAGTAAAATAATTTTAAAAATAATTTATTTTAAATTTACTTTGTTAAGTAATGTCCGTAAGCCAAGGTATGGATTTTGTCTTCTAGAATAACCCTCTTGTCGTCAAAACTATTATATGTTAATTTGATAGATTTAATGGTCTTCAATTCATGTTTAAACGACCGAATAGAGACATTCTTTGTCATTGTATCCAAGGTTGAATCTCCAAACAGACATCGATAATGATCGTTGAAGTTCATATGGTTTTTAACCACATGCCCACGGATTCCTTTTGCTCTGATCTTTTCCTTCCCATTAAGCTTATATGAATAAAACTTTGCGCGGAGTGCACAAAAATGTGTCATTACCTCTCCCATTGTCTCATCGGAAAACAGACCTGGGATTTTCTTTCGTTCGGAAATGTAGCATGGATGGTCTTGTGGCAAGTCTGATGTGTTCATTCGATCGTGTAAATCGGAATTATTCTCCAGGTCTTTGTAAAAATCATCAGTCTGAATATAGTATACAAATGAATCTAAAATAACGAAATAAATTAATATATAAGAAATAAAAATATTAGAAAATTAAAATAGTTTGAAAATATTTACCTGTATCAGTGTACTTGAGGTTAATTTTACTTCCATAATGGGCTTGCATAACCTCATAGTGGTAATCGTACATGAAGGTCTTAGAAATTTCCAACACTGCAAAGCCTGATGAAAATATATATATATATATCAAAATATAGTTACTAATAGAAAATTGTGAGTATATTTACCTATATAAATAGGCTTGCAAAAGTCTATTATTTTATTTTCCAATGAAACCGCGTTGAGAGTTTCATCGTATGTAGTACAGTGTTTGAATGTTGTACGGTTTATGAGTTTTTGCAAACGTTTTTCACTAGACACCAGCTCTATATTAATTCTCCGCCTCATTGATTCCATGGTCATTCCAAAAACGGCATTGTTTAAAAGTTTAAAAAAGTCCTTTTCAAAGTTGTTTTTCGCTTTTTTCCGCATCTCGGTGTTTAATTCTATGTATTTTTTAAGCCAGTCTGACTGATCAAACTGTACAACTCTGTCAACCTATAATAAAACTGTAAATGTAATAAATGGATAAAAAATATTAGAATATGTTACTTTTTCAATTAAGATCCCGTTTTTAATGGCCTGCTGAAGGTTCCGGTAATGTATCACATAATTTTGTTTTGAATCTAATGTCGCCATAAGTTTCTTGACCTTAGAGCCAGGCGAAACACTATTTTTCTGCTGGAACGGAAAGTCATTATGTTTATCATGAAGATCTTTCGGATACGAAATATCAACTTCATATATTCGACCGATCTGTGATCTTTCGTCCAAATCATTTAACCCATCTAGTTTGGGTTCAACCCACTTAAAGCCTCCGTATGGCATGAACTGCGACATTGCGTGACCGTACAAGTTGTTACCTATAATTTAAATAATATATTACATTTAATATAAAATTAGATATAAAGTTACGTACAAAGTTTGGTGTTTGAAGCTATAGATTGCAAATACGACATGATTCATGTGTTTCTCATTGGCCATCCGTGAAAATGATAGGGGTGTTTGTTTTAAGTAGTTTTTCTATTTTTTCAGCTATTTCCACAATACTATCAACAAAATGTTTCGCAACGTCCTGGTTGTTTTCATTTCCACGATAAATTATTGGTGAAGTTGGCATATTATATTTTTCAAGCAGTTCGAGTAGTATGTCATCATTCGCCTTAACCAAAAATCCATAGCTCATTGCTTCGTGGTTTTGAAAAGCTGTAGTTTTTTCTCCAATTTTCTCATCACTTTTTTTTAGCAATGCTTCAAAATCCGCGTAAATTACAATTAGATGACGTTGTGATTTTTTCCACGCAGTAAACTCTAGCATTGTTCCCGGTTCAGGCATCTGAGGTAGTATGGGCTTATGAGCACCACATATTAATTTATGTTGCGCTAGTCCAGTCTCTCCATTCAATTTATATTTGTACTGTTGACCATCAAATGACGTGAAGCACCGTTTACAAAAAATTGTTTGCTCGTTATGTCTGGTCTTTTGTGAGCGAATGAGTCTAGAAAAATTTGAGATGTAGCTAAAGTGGTTGTTATCTTCGTCTGATATTAATAGTAGATTGAAATATTCGGGTTTTTCTTCATCTACTACTTTTAATGGAAATATTTGGTATTTAACAACTTTTGGTGGTTGAAATTGCTTTTCAATGCCGTAAACATTTACAGACACGTTTGGATTATTACTTTCAAATATTTTTACTTGATGAAGAGATGTCGGGAACGAAAGATCAGAAAAATTATACCGTTCTTCGTGTTCAAAATAATTTTCACCAACATAAGCTTTATTTTTTCCTGTAACATGTCTGGCGAGAATTGCCCATTTGAAGCATTGCATGTCCAGGTTTTGCGGGTTGATAGTGGCTTTTTTATTTTCTATTGGATCTGGTAATGCCATGTAGGAAGATCCAACCATAGGTGTATATTTATATCTACCTAACATTAAACCATCTATCAATACACTGTAAATTAAAGCCACTACCCTTGCTCGAATACTCGGTTTGCTCTGTCATTAATTTTGTAAATGCCTCTTAAACGATTTCGTGTACTCCAGTATCAGTGAAAATCGCCCTAGCTGAAGTTTTAAAAGCACGGTTTTCAGACGAATATTCTACGTGTGGAATATTGTATGTTGCCTCTAGCTTTAAATTGAACTTAATAGGATGTTTGCACGCAATTGATTTTAATAGCTTGATAAGTTCAGATTTAATCGAATCAAGGAAGTATACATAATTTTCTATATTACCGATATTTTTAACGTAATGCCAGGTGACTGTACGGTTCGACGAAGACGAGATTTCCACAAACCCAAGGGACTGTACAAAATTCAAGCGCACTTTTTTTGCAAATAATAGCTGACTTTGTGTTGGCCGAAGAAACCCATTTCCCGTTTTCACCCGTAGTGTATGAGTCTTTAAGAATAAAAAAAAAAAAAAAAGTTATCCAACACCCAGTCTATAATATAAATTACTAACCTACCGTATCACAGAGTCCAAGATTTTCGACGGTGGTTAGAACTTCCATACATTCGTCGTCATCAAGGTTGCCCAAAAATTCATCCATCGCATTATCTTGTTCAGTCGATAAGGGAGTAGTTTGGTTATTTCGTCTGTTAATAAGCGATCGTTTAGGGTGCTAGGTCCTGGATACATAGAAGACGTTCCAGCTGGTATGTTGGGAACAGAAATGTGTGGGGCGATCTGAATATTTTCCATCAGCGGTGCTGGATGTTGGGTAGGCGTTCCATGAAATTTTTTTAAATGCCTGATAAGATTGGTCTTGTAACTGAATGTAATGGAACACCTAGTACACGGGTAACGCACACCCGCATTCTTTTTTTTATGCCTAACCAAATTACGTTTCGTCGTGAATTTTGAAGTACATTGCTGACATTTGAGAAATGTTAAATGTGTTTTTCGGTGAGCGAGCAAATTAATCTTATAGCTGAATTTCAAAGGACATTGCTCGCATTGAAACATTAAAAAAAAAATAAAAGACGAAATGAACGATAAATATAAACACAATAATTTAAGACGGGACAAACGATAAATATACGCACGGCAATTTAAAACGGATCGAACGATAAATATACTCACGGCGATTTAAGACTGAACCGATTCAGTTACACTCGGTTATATATAAGCACAGGTACGCGATGAAGAACAAATACTTCCTGTGGTAGATATTTGTATTATTAGTGTATATCACATCCTGACGACTAATGTATCTTATTGTAAATCCGACGCCTAACGTCGGGACGGCGGTCTTAGAATTTTTGCAAGGTATTGTGTGAATATCGATATTTAATTGAATACGAATAATATATGGCAGGTTATAATACCTACGACAACCTGGCGACTCGAGTGAATATGACATTTTTAAGTATATCGATTATTAATGTGTATTATTCACCAATAGGCATTTTAATATTTTTTTCAATATTAATGGATTTTGCTGGAATGTGATTAATTGAAATCTCTACCGTGGAGTTCTAAGTATTGATATATAACGACTATTAAGAGTCAGTGACATCCTGGCGACGTGAGCGAGTATGACATTTTTAAGTTTATCGGTTATTAATGTGTATTATTCACTAATAGGCATTTTAATATCATTAGTGTGCGATATCCTGGCGACCGGTCGAGTACAATAAGCAGATCATATCAAGATTAGGTTTGATTTTGTATATTAATTCCCCAAGAGGGGACTATACGTTGTTAAAATATTTTTATAATACAACGTCCGTATTTTTTTTGTGTATATTATTTAGCGTGTATTTAAATATATCAGTATTAACTATATTGTTCAACGGGTTAGGCGGGGCAATGATACTTTCATACCCTCCCGGTAACACAAATATTATATTTTTAAATATATGATAACTGATAACATATGATAACTGATAAAAATAATGTGTGATAAAGAGGGTGACGTATGTCCCACACGTACGCGATCGGCGGCGGGTAAGGAGGGTGGGGTGGGGTTATATTATACGTTACGCACGTACGCGATCGGCCGGCGGCGGAGGCGGCGGTGGGATGAGGGACGAGGCGGCAGAGGTTAGGTTAACAAATTCTGGTTAAATAGGTGAAAATAACGATTTGAGATAATGCGGTCGGCTGGCCTAGTGGTAAATAATATCGCACGGAAGGCGATAAATCCAGGAATGGATCTTCGCAGGAAAACATTTTTTGTATCCGTATATAGTATTGCCTACATTTAGCCCCTTTTTTGCAGTTATCAAAATGTGATAATAATATTGATAAACCGATAACATAATTTTCATTATCTAATATATAAAATTCTCGTGTCACAGTTTTCGTTGCCATACTCCTCCGAAACGGCTTGACCGATTTTGATGAAATTTTTTGTGCTTATCCGGTATCTATGAGAATCGGCCAACATCTATTTTTCATCCCCCTAAATGTTAGGGGTTGTCCACCCCTAAATTTTTTTTTTTATTTTTTAGACAAAATTTTTAATTTCTATTTTTTTATGATACAACATACAAAAATACATACAATCCTCAATTTTCACCCTTCTACGATCAACCCTTATTTTTTAATAGCCATTTTAGTAATTTAATCATTTTTCCTCTCCGGTCGAAAACTGATGTATCGTCATTTAATTAGTTATCCCCACCAGATGTCTACAGGTGTCACTTCTGACCGAGTAAACAGCACGGAGTAGGGATGAGAACGAAGCCGGTCTCCTTTCTTTCTCACTCCCTACACAGTACACAGTTGTCGGCCATCATTATTGTTTATGCATCAAGTGTAGTAGTAACGTTGACAATTATTATTTTGCTATCTCAGTGTAACTCTCATATTAACTTTTAATCATTCCTATTTTATCAATAATAATTAAATTATCAATTTTGTGTGTATTTTGCACGATTAGTTAATCAAGTGATTTTATAACCTCAAAAGTACTCAACACGTGACACGAGCTTCCAATAACAACGGATTTTGTGTTGTAAGTATACTTTTTTTTTATATCGAAAGTGTTGTTGATCTTATAAAAATGTAATTTTAATTTAATTTTATTAAAAAAATGTAATTGAACAATTAAGATTTTCATAGTTTCCAAAAAATCAATCATTATGAATCTTTATTTTGAAATGTCAATGGAAATATTGGTTGTATTAAAAAATTATAAGAGACAATGTTTTCATAAAATTTAATTTTTTACTTTTGAAGGACTAACAAAAAATATTGTTCACGCTATAGCATTAAGAGATTGATATTGTTTAATAGTGTTACTGCCGTAATTGTTTAATTAATGATATATAATTTAAAGGAATAAATTATAATATAACTTAAAAATAATGTTTGCCTTTTGTTATTTTTATATTCCCTCATCGTTCACAGCGCTCCATGCTTATTTCACGCATATACCACATTCTTACATACATACAATATACACATTCTAACATACATACATACTTACAATAAGTAAGCTATTTTTTGTCTACACTAGAAATTACTAGGAAATTATTTATATGGGAAAACAACGTTTGCCGGGTCAGCTAGTAAATTATAATATTATATTTTATTATATTAATTATAATTAAAATAGTTAAATGTAGTTAATAAGTTATTAAAAAACACAATATCGTAATTTAAAATTTAAAAATACACAATTCATTGAGAATACAGTATAAATGTACAACCTATTTACGTAGAACATTATTTTAAATTTTCCATCTTTAGCTATAAAAGTTAAATTGTATAATAAAATTTTAAATTTGATAAATATTTTCAAAATTCGAACTATACCCAGATAGCAATTGTGTAATGATATTATTATTATTACAATACACAAATATTGTTATAAAAATAATGTTATTAAAATAACATAACTATTCAACTAACATAATATTATTTTATAGATATTATAATAAAATTATTTTTTATGTATGGTAAAAATAATATTATTTAACAAATATAATAATCAAGCTATTATAATAAAGAAAGTATATTATTATAATTATTATGAATCTTGAACATAATTTAATACCCTTTGAATAGAAATCAGTATAGATGGTAGTATAGTATCTATACTTACAAACGAATCAAAACCTATGCAAACTGAAGATATAAATACAATTAACATAAAAAAAAGTATTGAAAAACAACCTAGTTTCTTTACTAAAAATAAAAAAAAATCCTTACTAAATAATACAAGTGTTTTAAATGTTCATTCATATAACGATCATTCTTATAGCGCTAAAAGAAAATGAATTCATTATTATATTGTTGAATTGTATCTTTTAAATGACGATCGTAAGTGAATAAAGAATATTGTGTTTTTTTCCGAATTGTGTATTATGAAATTTATTAACTATTAATGTATTTAACTATTTTAATTATAATTTATAATGTTATAATTGTAATTAAGCTAGATGAAACACTTGCACCTGCTAAATCCGCCTTCAATCAAATACCAAACCTTAAAACAGCGGTTCCCAAACTGTGCACGGTGCACCGCGGTCTACGTTTCATAAGTTTAAAATGTATATAAAAACCATATGCCCAATTACTGGGTTTGGTATTTATCTGTATAATATTATTACTAGATATGATTTTATGGGTAATAAATTATTACAAATAATTGTTGATTGTTGACTGATTGTACCTTTATTATCTAATCATGTCAGACGATGTATTCAATTAACTATTACTTATTAGTCTGTTATTTAGAACTACTTGAGCTCTTTACCTTCAGTAGTGTGCGTGACTTAACACCGTTTAGTCGATTTGTGTTATTTAAGTATCTAGTGCGCGCATTGTTTACGTCGTTTACGTGTTCTTCTCTTTTTTTAAACATGGACCGTTGGTTGAAAGGTGGACATTTTAATAAGAAGCCTGTTACAGAGGAATCTCTTAGTACTCAGTCCGTAGAAGGCAGAATCAATGACGAAAATGGTAGTCAAGTAGTTCACCATTGTAATTCAAATGCAAATGGCTTCATAAATCCGATCAAAAAACGTAAATACAACGAAAGTTATTTAGAGATGGGGTTCTCAGAAACTAATGATTGCCAGCCACAGTGCGT